TTTCTGTGTTTTTTCCCCCTGCACCCCTAGTTGATTGGGGCCTTTCCAACCCAGTCCCCTTTTTTCCCGGTTTCTCCCCCCCCCCCCAATTTGGTCCTGTTCCATTCAGTTTTTGGAGAGCGATCCTGCTGATGAATCCTGTTATTCCTAAGAGGAGCTCCTTTCCAAGAGTTCCTCTCCTCCATCTGCTCTCCAGCTCCTCTGCTTGGAGCGGCCCCATTCATCTTCCCGAAACCAGGCAGCCCCAGCGGCTTCTCGCCTCCTTCCTCAAAGCCCACCCGGACTTCCCCCAGCTTCAAAAAGGGCCGCCTGGTTCTGCTCGCTTCCCGCTACCCCTGGGGATAATTAGGGGATGATACCTGCCGGCCCACAACGCAGACGGAGAACAGAATCACAGACACCGGAGAAGCAGGTACCCCAAAGCCGCCGGGGGCTTGCAACGTAAGAATCCAGCCATCGTCTCAAGCCCTGAGGGCAGCGTCTCTCCACCTCGGCCTCCTAAGGGGCGTGGATTTCAGCCCCAGAATCCGCTGACACCCCGCGTACGGGGTTCATACGTTTGGGCAGCGCACGATGTGTGCGCACCGTGACTGTTTTGGGAACCCAGACTGAGCACAGGTGTGACTCCCGCTGGAGCATTCCTTCCGACATCAGCTCCTTCGAACGTGGGCTGGTGTGCGGTCAGAAGGGACCACTGTCACCTGTTTCTAGACAGGCCACGGGGGCGTCACCAAAAGCCACTCGCAGGGCCGTCCAGCATCGCTCCTCCGAGACCAAATGGAGCCTCCCACTTCAGAGGCAGTCTATCTGTACTTGCCGGGGTGGGGGGGTTAAAGGGAGGGGAAGAGAAGTTCCATCTACTCAGTCACAGGAAGGGTTAAGAATCAATCTTTATAGATTTTAGATCCGTTTTATAGAAAATATATATATGTGGTGAGATGGGCGCCTCACTGCAGGGACTCTGGGTGCTGCGCAAAGATGGAAACCACGATGACAATCTAACCCTAACCCGCGAC